TAGAGAGGAAGAAGAGACTAAAGATAAATATCGTAATAAATTTGAAGAGATTAGTAGTGATGAAGAAGAGGATAGTGCGAAAGGAAATAGCAGTGATGAGAAAGAGGAAGGTGAAAAAAGTGATAGCAGCGAAGTAATAATCAAGCCAATTAAAACATATAATATACCATAAATAGCAGTAAATTTAGTATGGCAATTAGTAGCTGGCCATAAAAATTAATCATAGTATCTCATTATGATACTAACCAATTGTACAAGATTTCTTAATAGAAATAATAAATGAGTTTTTAAGGAATTGATTTGTCATTTTAGAATTAAGAGCTGTTTTTAAGGAAATGATATAAAAAAATGTGATAAATTATAAATATACGAAAGGTTTGTATCAGATTGATTTTACTTGTTATAAAATTAATATGCTTTGTTTTTCACATAATAAAAATTTACGATTTTAATTTGCTAAACCACAAGCAAAGTATAAAAAACTAGAATTAGAATAACAAAAAAATCACTATAAAATAAACAAATCAACAAATGTACTCATATAAGAGTTATCTGAATAACTCATGTAGCATTTATTATACTATTGCTATCCAATTAATTTCTACAAACATTAAAACATGAATTTGAATCAAAAATATAAATCCTATCAAAATTCACTTATACTCTTCATTATCAAAACTACCCTAAGCCTTATTAAAACACACCCGTGATGCTATCATTCAGAAATTGTGATACTAAGCTTGCAAGATTACTTATGCACAATAAAATTGAACTTCTAACAATTATAATTGACAATAAATAATGATTATATAAGTAAGCGCATTTACAATTTGAAAGTAAATAAAATTTGTTTCAATAAATATATATCACCTATTCAAATATCTAATTGTTCAGTTGCCCAATATTGACCAAATAAGTTCTGTTAACACCTTCAGTACTTCAATTGATATCTATCTATTATGTTAAGTAAAATTGAATAAGAAGTGGACAGCCTCAGATATTCTTTAAATACTTTAAGTGATAAATTCAAAATAAATACTTATTATGAATAAGTATTATTGACTGACACAAATCAAAAAAAAATAAAGATAATAATAAATAATAGAAAAATGATACTGGCCATTGGCAAGACAGAAAAATGAAAAAATATTTAGCTTTGCTATGACTTAGTGCTGGATCAAATTAACAGATTAATATTTTCTTCAGTGAAGATGTAAAACAATATAAAATTGTTTTTGCATAGTGCATATACTCGCTTGTGTCGTCAATATTATCTCCATCTAAAGAGGAATCATCAAATGGTATCTTTTGACGATTGTAATTTTTTTTGCTATAAAATTGAAAAATTCTAGGATCGTCATCACTATTTTCTTTGCTATTATTGTCACTATTTTTATCGCCTTCTTTGCTATCATCACCTTTAGTGTCATTATTTTTATGATTTGAGTTTGAATATCTTTTTCAATATCTTCTTCATTAACAATAAATGAATATGCGTGAGGCAATGAACATTCTTTAATTTCATTTCCGTCATCATCAATTTCAACTATTTTTCAAAATTATTTGTTGCTTCAAAGACCTTTTCAAAACTTTTGTAATATTTTCGAGAAGCGAAACTTGAATTAATCCAATTTCATTAGAAAGTAATATGCTATTTACCATTTCAAAATCTTTAAAGAGCTTAATTTTAGGAATAGTGAAGAACAAAACTTAAAAAAGGAGGATTTAATTACCAATAAAATCATAATTTTGAAATAGACAATTTGGCGAAGCTTTCTTATTTCATTCTCATATTGATCTACATTATGATTTTTTTGTTATTTGAATGTGCAATGACTTCTCTTATTGCTTTATTTTCTTTTCTTAAAGCTCTTTCCTTAAGGCGTTATTTTCTTTTAGTAATAAACTCATCTTAGTTTGAAAATAATTGGCTCTCTTTTCTAAAATATTGCATTGGTTGCTAAATCTCTTAATTTCATTAGCCATTTTAACTATTCGAGATTCCAATGCTTTGAGAATTTCAGTATTATACAAATACTCATCATTTGAAATTTCTTTTCGTTTTGATAAAATTCATTTGTTTTTAAAATATGTTTTGAAGGCATTTTTAATTTGATCTGGAGTTGAATTGGGTGAACTAAGGATTTTTTTTAACTATTTTTTATTTGAATCTTTTCGGGGCATTTTAGAAGATTTTTAATTAAGGAGCAAATATTTATTATATATAATAAATTTGTGTAAAAAATCTCTCATATGTGAACCTATCACTAAAATATTTGCTATTGGTTTATTTATGATTTTATCATCAATTTATTATATATACATGTCTTCTTAATTTTAAGTTTGGTTATTGTTATATTATGTTTTACTTTAAAGCTTTTTTATTTTAATGCCACTTTTGGGTTAAAACCAGTTTTGCTCTCAATTTCTTTCGATATTGCAATAACTGTAAGAACCGGAATTGAAATTTTGATTATAAACATCAAAACTAGTAAACTTATTGGCCAACTCATTACCAGTAACCTTTGGCTTCCTAAGCAATGACTACCTCCTTGGAACTGGAATTACAGAATTATTTTAAATCAAGATATTAATATGAATAAAACTGTGTCCTGCCCTTTTTATCACATGTTTGGTTAATTAAGATAGACAAATCTTTCAATTTTTCATTTGTATAATTTTCACGTGATTCTATGAAACCTCTAACACTAAGTAGCCTCCAATATGAAATCGTAAAATTAAAAATTATGAACATTTTATATAAGAAACGTAATCATAAAAACTTTTTTTCATGTAATTTTGTGTAATTTTAATGAGTTTAAGGTTTATTACTAATTACATGAAAATGGTTTAACCCTAATTCAGTAATTGTAACAAGTTGATATAATTTGTAATTCACGTGATCAGTTAAATCTAGCTAAATCACATGAGTATATCGGCAAACTTTATCCAGAGTTTGTGAAAGTAATCACATTAAATTTCATATTTGCATAATTTGATAACACTGGCTAAGTTTTCATAATGCTGGTACTTTATATCATGTGAAATAAAATTTAAGTATAATCCATGTTACTGAAATTTACGCAAAATTACGTGAAATGAAATGTAATTTTCAACCCTAACTGTAACTTCTAAATTGCCGAAAATTTGATCTCAGATAGGGACGTAAAATCACAGCCAGAGCTAAAATAATTTTAAACAAACATAAGATAATTCCGATTAGAGTTGGGCATTACATAAATTACAATTTATGTTATATGTATATCAGATATTATATTGAATTGTACGTAACTTTTATATGAATAGTGCATTGTCACATGATAATTGCACCAGCATTACAAAAGTTTTGCTAGTGTTAACAATATCTATCAATATATTCAGAATTGTAATTATATATTTATTTTTTATTCTAGCTTTACAAATGTTTTGGCCAAAGTTATTCACATGATCAAAATTACATGTAATTTTGATTTCAGAAACTTACACGAGTTTACATAAAATTACATAATATTACAGTAATTTGACAACCCTAATTCAGCATAGTTCTTAAAATAAATAAGAATTATGATTTCGACTTGAATTAAGATAATTCTGGTAGATTAATTTGGCCGAGTTAGGAGTTTTAATTCTGGCTGGAGTTAAGATAATTTTTAAATAAATAGAAATTATAATTTTGACTAGAATTAAGATAATTAATTATGACCAGATTTAGGAGTATTAATTCCGGCCGGAGCTAAAATAAACAGAAATTATAATTCTAACTAGAATTAAGATAATTTCAATAGATAATTCTGATCAGAGTTAGGATTATTAATTCTGGCCAAAGTTAAAATATCAAATAGGAATTATGATTTCAACTGGAATTAAGATAATTCCGATAAATTAATTTGGCTGGAGTTAGAAATGTAAAATTGAATTATGTTTACCAGAGTTACGAGCAATTATGTTTACCAAAGTTACAAATTAATTCTACCAAATTATGTTTACCAGAGTTATGAATTAATTTTGCCAAATTATGTTTACCAGAGTTATGGATAATTCTACCAAATTATGTTTACCAGAGTTGTGAATTAATTCTGCCAAATTATGTTTACCAGAGTTACGAATTAATTCTACCAAATTATGTTTACCAGAGTTATGAATTAATTCTACCAGAATTATGTTTACCAGAGTTACGAATAATTCTACCAAATTAATTATATCACATAAATGATATTATGAATTAATTCTACCAAATTATGTTTACCAGAGTTACAAATTAATTCTACCAAAATTATGTCTACCCAAGTTATGCTTACCAGAGTTAATTAATTCTACCAAAATTATGTCTACCTGAGTTATGAGCAATTATATTTACAAAAGTTATGAATTAATTCAACCAAATTATGTTTACCAGAGTTACGAATTAATTTTGCCAAATTATGTTTACCAGAGTTATGAATTAATTCTACCAAAATTATGTTTACCAGATTAATTCTACCACAGAATGATGTTTACCAGAGTTACGAATAATGATGCCTGACGAATGACAAAACCCTTTCGTTATGATAAATGACGAAACCATTTCGTTAGGCAATTTCGAAATGACAAATGACGAATGACGTAACTTGTGACGAATGACGAAACTCATGACGAATGACGAAATTCATGACAAAACATAAATTTTATATAAAAAGTATAAGAAAAATTTAAAAACAGGAACTATTCTTTAGGAGTCATTGAAAACTAGTTAATGGAAATAAATTAGTCTATGTAAATTTGTTATGTTTTTTGACATATTTATCTGATATTTTCTGATGATTGGCAGTACTCACCCAGATATATCTGATGGGTCTGACGAAGAAAGGACAGACAAAACTTTTTGATAAAATAACAGTAATTTGAAAATTTTATGATTCAGAATATTCAGAGGACATAATAAAGGAGCTTGTTGAAAGATAGTTCACTGCATTTTTATATTTTATTGGTCAAATTAATTTCGTCAAGAGTTTCATCAATCGTCAGTAGTTACATCAATCGTCAGTAGTTATGTCATATCATCAAGTTTTGTCAGACGAAACTATTGACGGAACCATTTTGTCAGCACCAAATAGTTTCATCAGACATCATTAGTTACAAATTAATTTCACCAAAATTATGTTTACCAGAGTTACAAGCAATTATATTTACCAG